TAAGCAGTCAAATAATGTAATAATTCAATTAAATAAATTTATGGGATATTTAGAGAGAGGGAATCCCAACCTAATCATTAGAAATTAACCCCATTGATGGCAAAAATAATGATCTAAGTTCATAAAAAGAAATTTTAGAAAAAAATGAGTTCATAAATTAGAAAATAGAAAATAATGGAAAATAATAGGAAAATTCAGCAAATAAAGAAGGCAATTATGTCGTATATTCGAGCATAATGGAAATTATTTAAAATAATGGGAAATAATACAAAATAAAGGGAATATTTAGAAATCTGCAAATTCCTAAATAATAAAAATAAAGTAAAATAATGTAAGTATCTAAGCATGTAATAAAAAATAATAGAAAATTACGAAAGAGGAAAGAAACAGCAATAAAAATTATTGGGTAGATCTAAAATACTGGGAATTTTGAACAAGCATTTTGGTTATACATAACTAGAAAACTGAATAAACATAATTATACGAATGCGCAGTCGAATATTAATAATCAGCAACAGATCTAACATGAATAGACAAATATATATATATATATATATATAAATAAATATATTGTATATATACATATGGATAGATATATATATATACATAGACAGGGAAGAAGGTGGAGATAACAGTGAGAGATGAGAGGCTGCAGCTTGAGCAGATAAGGTTTGTGGGCGGCTACCCCAGCTGGAGTCGAGTTCGAATCTATGCGATGCTGTTGATGATGTCGAGATGACGGATCGCACAGAGGCTGCCCAGCGTGCAACGCACATTGTTTACTTGTGCTAAAATTGGATCTTCATTGATTGACATGAGCGACAAGTGGGCGCCAGTGCAACACGACGGCGACTCAGACGCAGATTATTGACCCAGAAGCTAAGGCGGGTGGCAGATGCTGGCAGGCGGTGCGATACCAGAGCCTAGACGAGAGTCCATTCCAGACACTGGCAGCAACAACAAATGTAAACAAATAACAAAACATTATCAAATTATGTGAACTTTGCATTTTCGCTAAGCAAATCGATTGCTATTCAGAAATGCCTGGCAACAGCTCCCAGGCAGGATTACAGGGTATATACATGCTGCAAATGACAATGCCAGCTCTGATTCGGAGGCACAAGCAGCTGAGAGTGGCGAGTTATCGGAACGAATCGATTATAGTACAAATTGGAGTGATATATAGATGAAGGTTAGCTCGTGCTCCGCGAGATTCGCATCTTCGGCCAGCAGCTGGTCGAACAGTTCGTGGGGCATCTCGTCTTCGGCTAGCGTGATTATCAGCGAATCATTCAGGAAGTCCGCATCAATATCCAATATCGGCCCCGTGTCCTCATCGTTATCGTTATCGATATCGATAACTAACGGTAGCTCCGACATGACTTCTCCTCCTCCTCGGCTACTTCCCCCTCTTCTTATTCTTCTTCTTGTTCTTGTTCTTGTTCTTGTTCTTGTTCTTCCCTGGACTCCTGTCAACTGGAACAGCTGCAAATCGTTGCGTGTTAAGGAAATCTCGCCCGAATTATGACAAGGATTCGAGCTTTGTTAGTTTACACTTTGCCTTAGCCAAACGATGCCTCAGTCTTTGCCTACTTAAGAAATATTTTTTTGCTTTTCTATTCTACAATTCGATTGGATTCAAATAACGTAAACCATTCGGACTCGTGTCCAAGCCCCTGTCCATGCCGTTGAGTGGACTCATTGCAAGTGTTGCCTACTTGCCGCTAGATGGCGTTCTCAGTTTATGTCTAGCTTAACCCGACTTCTCGGACTATTCTCTTGTCTGTATATAGAATATATTCATAGTTCCTATAGCTGAAAGCTGTTCTGTTCTGCTATGGATTTTTCAGTTGATTTAGCTTCAGTGAGAAACTCGACAAGTCATGCTCTCTCACTCTCTCCTTCATGCAGAGTATCTGCTAGTTGTGCACTGCTGACCAGAGCACTTTGCCTACTTTTATTATTGAATCTTTAAACGTTGGCAAAAAAAAAACAGAAGAAATGCAAAATTATCGCGTGAGTCAATAAACTGACGAACAACCGCTTGACCTGCGCCAACAACAACAACAACAACAGCAGAAGCAGCAATGGGAGTCGACCTTAAGCCACAGTAAATGCCGCCAACGACCATAGACACACATTCGGCTGCTGCGAGACAACAGAGAGAGCGAGGAAGAGAGGACTGAAGTTCATGGCCAGGATGCGTAAGCCCTGTTAAGCAGCTGCCAATGAACTGCAAGCGCCATTGCACAGTGGAACCAAAAGCATTAATAAACTGTGCAGATGAAATTTAGAAATATGCAAAAATATGAGAAATATATAAAAAAAATATGAATATATACAAAATATTTAAAAAGAAAAAAAATTATATTTGATGATTAGAAAAATTTATTTTATTATTATAAAATAATAAATAATTGATTAAGCAAAAATAGTTTAAGAATTTGGATTTTAACAAATTAAAATGGTTATTATTTTATTTTAATTTTTTTTATATATTTTTAAAAATAAAATATTCAATATGTATTTTTAGCAAGTGTTATTAAATATTGTGTTAAATATATAAAAAGTTTGCTCTAGATCAAAGAAATTCTGTGTCGATTTCAACGTATATCTAATATCAATTTGCAACGGATATATGTGATATACGCACCACAGTGCACGCTTTCAAGGTCAGTAATTGGCCCAAAAAAAAAAACAAGAGGAGGAGGAGGACGCAGAAGAAGCAGACAAATGAAATTGCGCCTAACGGAACAGAGCTACGCAGAGCAAATGCAGTGCAAAAAATATATGAATGTATGTAAGTGTGTGTATATGTGTGTATAGCGGGACTTGGTTGCCAGCACCTAACTGTGAATTAGGCATTTGAGCTGCGAAAGGTTGTCGCCCCGTCTCCAGGCGCGACCTTGGCCAGAGTTGCCACGCAATTGGGGACAATGCACCAGCAGCCAAAATAAAAAGAAAAAGCAAAAAGCAAAAGAAACGTGAATAGAAATCATGTTAATAAACGTAAGAGAACGGCCTGGCTGCACTGGTGTGTGTGTCAGGCTGTGACCTTTGAACCTAATCTAGAGAGATTCAGTTGTTGCACGGCTCCATGAATTGGCGCTCTGAGTGTGTGTGTGGAACAACAACATCTGTAATCGGCACACGGCAATCACTTGGGCAACGCGTGGAGCCAGCTGTAAACAAATAACAACTGCTAAATATATATAAGCACACACATACATACTACAAGCATACATACATATATACAAATATATATATATATATATATATATATATATATATATACATATTAAGATTAGGAATACAATAAGCCGCAATTTTAATCAGAAATAGTAATCAATTAATCATTGACAAAATAATAATAATAAATGGAATGCACAGTGGACATGCGGCTGACCTTTACAATATTAGCAGCACTTACAAATAGTTGCAATAATAATATCAATTAATTTTAATTAATTCGTTTATTTATTGTTTAACAAATGCATAGCCAAAGGCAAAGGCAAAGTTAAAGAAGCAGAATGTGTTGCAGCACAGTTTTCTCATCTAACCTCGCATATCTCGCACATTAAAGCTTAATTTGATCAATTTATACATATCTACATACATATATGTATTATGTGTATATATATGTATATATATATATATATATATATATATATATATCTATATGTATACATACATATATCTTTGCTCTAGTTATCTTTGCCTGTTATCAGTTCAAAAAACCTATTTTTGAACTTGGCGCCTTTCAAGGGTTAACGCGCCACCTATCGCATAGTTTGTGCACTAGCGACGTCTGTTAACTTAGCAGCCTACAACATCTGTTATGTGCAACTATCGATGTTATTACTGCCACTCGATTTATTTTTGGCACCGATAACTAACAAACAGCAACAAAAGCTTTAGGCACATAGAAAGAGGCGTTTGTTTATATTATGCTCAAGAATTACCATGTAAGTTCGATGCAGCGACTATATTGAAGAATGCACATTAAATTCATTTGTATAGATAAGTTCAAATACCATTGACTTGCGCATATTCTTCATACTTATTCCGTAAAGCCGCCTTATCAGCGACGTGCCGACTGAGTGTACAAGCAGAAATTCTACTATAAAAAAACCCACAAATACATTATACAAAAGCAAAACAAATTGAACAGCTAACAACACTAAGACTAATGTTAATTAAAATTGGCAGCCAGATTGACAAACTGCTTTAGATATGTATATAATAGTTGAATTGTCGTGTCCCCGTTAATTGGTTAAAAGCACAGAGACAGAGAGAGAGAGAGAGAGAGAGACGAAAGAACCAGTAAACTGTTCTATGATTGAGACTGAATGATCTTTAAGGCGCACAGCTATGCTTGCAGAAATCCTTAAGTTTCTATCAACATCAACTATATTACAAAATATTTCTGTTCGTTGGCTGAGTCTTTACTGTACTTGTAACTAATTGGTAATTGTTTTGTCATAATTATTTATTTATTGCACTTGTTTTCTGTTGCTTTTTGGTTTGTTTATTAGATCCGCTAGGCTAAGCGTTTTGCGAGTAGATTACAAATTGCCCGCTACAGTGAACACTGGCTAACGTTGATATGGCCAAATTACTTGAAGGTTAAACACCTGGCAATTGTTGTTCTCACTTAATTGGCAATTGCTGCTGCTGCTGCTCCAAACCGGTAAATGCAGGGCAGAGAAGGGAAAGGCAGTGAAGGGGCGTGGTAGCCGCCTGTTGCCTGCAATGTGCTTGTGCTTGTTCTTGTTGTTGCTGTTGTGTGGAGAGCGGCGACAAGGTCAAAGCGTTTGCTTGGCCGCTTGTATGGGCTCCAATTTTGACCATAGCCAAATGCTTCACACATACACACACACGCACACATGCATGTATATAGTATGTGCGTGAGTGTGTGGCAGCGCAATCAATACACATGTAAACGCTCGACGGCGTCGCGTCGCTTACTATCGAAGTTGCTATTTGTACATATAAAATTTTTATTTGTTTGTGCGGCATACTCGATTCGCAGCTCACGGAGGACGGACGTGTTCTCCAAAAACCGTAGAATCGTCTGTGCGTGTTAAGGAGACGAAAGACTCCAAAGCAGTGTTCACATCTTTCGTTTTTGGTACCTGTTGCATCTGTCGCGCCGGGTTTGTTTCCCACATTCTTTACCATATATGTTTTTTTGTTTTTTTTTTTTTGTTTTGGTTTCTCCACTTTGTGAATCGAAATATCCGAACGTGGAGAGAGCGTGCGCAAGTGCTGTAAAGACGCAGAGAACATGAGAGAGAAAGAGAGTGGCAGAGCGCGCGAGTGCAATAGGGAATATGGCGTAATCCAACAACAATTAAGCACACTCTTGGAGAATGCACACAAGTGAACTACTAAATCCGAAATGAGCGAACAGTGCATGCCCTACAAGCACAGTTCACCAGTAGTTAGAGATGTGCGTTAGAGGATTCTATTTCAAATTGTGCTATCGCAAAGAGCTTATTCTGAAAATCAATCGTGATTAAAACACATTGTTAAAAATTATATTTGTTTTTTTTTTTTTTTTTAAATCCTTATTTAAATTCGAAAAAAAACTTGTTTTCATATTAATTTATTTTATTTCAGGTTACAAAACAATTATCGTCTAACTCTTACTCTAAGCAAACAATTTCCATGTTTTATTGGGACACATACTAGGTATGTCTATAAACAGATAATCTATGATCTGATTGGACTAATATTTATTTTTTTTTTTTTTTGTAGATTAGCTGATACATATTATAAAAGGCATTTGAAGTGCCTATTGAACTCATCGAAATACTCAAATTTTAAACAAATACACACAATGGGTTCCATGCTCTGTAAGGAGTACAAAACAACTGGCAAAATAACGCCCAATCCGGAACAGAATTCAGGTATTATAAGGATGAAGAAAGTGAATGAACAGAAACAAACTTGAAGATAAAAGTTCAAAGTCTTAAAATTATCTTTTATGGTAAACAGATCTAAGTATAGTTTCATAGGCAGAAGAGTTGACATAGAGAGAGAGAAAGAGAGATACGATAAAGTTGAGATATATACGTATATATATACGTATTTATTTTCTTTCACTCTCTCTCTTTCTTCTCTCTTGTAATTAGGTTCGTTTACCTTTCTAATTGCCTCTAATTGCTGTCAGTCACGCAATCAAAAATTTTTCCAATTTGCAATTGTTTTATTATAGATCAATAATAATGCCATTTGTTTCATAAATTGTTAGCGAAAGAGCATCGACTAGTCGAGAGAGAAGGAGAGAGGGGGAACTGTTAAATAGTTCGCTCCGCCTAGCCGTCTTCTTCTTCTCCTTCTTCTTCTTCCACTCAGCATTTGTTTCAGTCTACACTCTCAACTTAACTGCGACGGCGGCTTTTTCTGTTTATCTCGAACTAAAGCTTTTTGAGCATATTTAACAACGACAACAACAACTGTAAAAGGCGTCAAAGCTTTACATATCAAACGGATTATTGCTTTGGGTAAACCGGGCCAAGCCCAAGAAAAAAGACATTTGGTTTAGCTTTGTTTTGTTCTTTTTTTTTCATATTTTATATTTTCTATTACAATTATTATGAGTGTGTGACAAGGCCAACCGGTTCGCCTGAGGTATGTGTGTGTGTGTACCAATATATTTGTACCAGTATATGTGCACCAGTATGTGTGTATCAGTATGTGTGTTTTTACTCTAAATTTACGTTCCACACAAGCTAATTACATTAAGCTATAATTTTTAACTGAGCTCTGATTCATTAACTTGTATATTTTTTGCATTTTGGGCAATGTTTTATTTATAATTATGACGTCATTTTGTTGGGAATTTTTCGTATACCCATTAAAAATGGAAAAAAAGGCATAAATTGTTTGTGACTAGACATGGAAAAACCTAGCATGACAGACAGCAGAAGCTATATATATGTATATGTATAAATATATATATATATATATATATATATATATAGAAAGATGGATGCGCTGAGCACATTTGGTTATATCCATGTGATAATGAGCACAGGGTATCTGCTAGTCTCACCCAATAATCACAACTGAGCATTGGCCACACTTGTTTTCTTTTGTGTTTGCTAATGAGTTGAAAATCTATGAAAGAAACAGCAATTCATTAAAAGTTTTTTTACCTGTTCGAAAACCAAACGCAAAGTTTTTCTTATCTATAGAATATCTAATATCTTTATAATGTTTAGAAGCTGTACAGAAAATTGTATGCCCAATTTGGTAACTCTATCCTTTTAGATTTACAAGAAGCGCTGAAGTAACTGCAGTTTCAGATCGATATTAATCGTTGAAAGTTATCGATTTGATCAAGTTTGAACTAATATATAGAAGCTAATAGATTTTCAGTGCACAGTTCTGTAGCTCTTATAGAGGATATTTATTTTATGGGATAAGCCTAGTATATACCCATATCTGGATATATCTTTACATCATTGTTTCCCAATCATTTCTTTCATTTCAGTTGCTTAACTATCAGGTACTGTTACGTGCTTGACACATTGCTAGCCGTCAACCAATTGTGGGCTCCGCCCTCGTTTATATTTTATTGGACACCGAAATTGACGTCTTTAGCTTCTATGACGCAGCACATTTTTAACTGTGCTGTGCCCTTGAAGATATATCGATTAGTTCGTGGCCATCCATTCAGAAAAGAGGGCCAAAAAGTGAAAGTCTTTTCGATTCGTTTGAGTGTAGATTCTATATAAATATGATCTTGACAGCTACCTGGACACAGCGTTTCTGTTCGCATGCGGCATGTCCAACTTTTATCTAACAATCATGCTTGCTCACCTCTTATCAGTGAACTTGTGTTTGACACTTGAGAAACTTGCAAATCATTCTGTTAATCATCGGAGAAATCAAATGAAAATCATAAAACTCAATTAGTTTGATGGAGTTGAAAGGTCTGATAGCGTCCAGTCAAATCCTGCCTTGCTCCACTATCGATCTATCGATCTGTGTCTACAAGTATTTCTGTTGACTGATAGAAAAGCTTTTCAATCAGGAACTAGTTCCGGCAACTGCCTCGCTGCCATAGTTGCTGAACTAGTTTCAAAGTTCTCTCTTTACTAGTTCTTAAGCAAATCTCTACTATCGTACGACTGGTTCGCAACTGGTTCCAACATAGTTCAATAGGTTATCCAAATAGATCAGCTTTTGTATTTTATGTTTTTACTGTTTTCAGACCCTTAACAATATTGGTTCCAAACAGAAGCTAGTAGAACTACAAAACTGATCGAATCATGGGTGGTTCACAAAGTAGTTCCACTAGTTCCATATCTATTTAACATATATATCATGCAGAAAAACTATTATGAACTGCGTATTTATTTTCCTAGTTGCTAGTTCCAAGTTAATTTTCTAACGGTCCACAAATTTAGTTCCAAGCTAGTTCAAGGGCTATGGAGCCCTCAGCCAATGTATTTCTTAAAATCAATTCGGTACAAGTTCTAAATTAGTTTCATAGCAGGTTCATAACAGTTCGGAACTAGTTCCAAAACTAGTTCCAGCATGTAGTTCAATTTTTTTTGACGGCAAAGTTAATTTGAAAATATGCTGGTTCCAAAAAAAATTTAATTTAAATTTAATTTAATTACAAAAAAACGCATGCAGAAAAAAAAAGATCTTATAGCTTATAGGGAAATGGAATGCAATTGGACTCCAATTAGAACTGGTTGCTATGCTTGCCGGAGAGCAGCTCCATGCGGTTGATGGCGTCGTCCAGGAATTGTCGCTGCAGCTGTAGCTGTGAGAGCAGTTCCTCAGTGTTGAGCAGCTGCAAGCGTTGCTGCTGCTTTTGCTCTTTGCTCGTTGACTTCGACCAGTTGGTGCCAGAGCTTAAAGACGCTGTGCTGGCTGCATTGGGTCGCAGCAAGGCCAGCAGCCGTTTGATGAGCGAGGGAGCTGCATTCGATTCCGACTGGGCGATGCCAACGCTGGGCAGAGACTCCGGCATGGCCAGCAGCGGCGTAAAGAAATAGGAGCCAACGCTCACGGGCGACTTGGGCGTGCTGGTGTAGACAGCCTCACGAGGCAGCTCCTGCCTATTGCTGCTGCTGCTGCTGCTGCTGCTGTTGCTGCTGTTGCTGCTGCTGTTGCTGTTGGTGGTCTGCATGACATCCAGTTGGACCTTGAGCTCGTTTAGTTTGTGCTGCAGCAACTCAAAGTCTGCAGCCAGATTGAACGCCAGCTGCTGTGCGTCCTGCTGCTGCGCCTTGCCCTCCAGCTTATCGATTTGCTGCTGTATGTCCAGCTGACGCTGCTGCAGATCCTCTATCAGCATGGACATCTCCGGCGTATATGTGCCCATATACAGGCGCTTAATCTCGGCCTGCAAGAGCTGCTTATGGCCGCGCAGCTCGCTCAGCTTAAGCTCCAGCTGTTGCTGCTGTTCGCTCAGTGGCTCGCTGCTGGCGGCAGTTGCGCTAAGCAGCAGCGACAGGCAGAGCAGCGATGCGAATAGTTCTGAATGCAGTGACGACATTTTAACAACTGAGTGATGCTTACCTGTTCAACTGTTCACCTGGGCAGCTGCTTTCTATGCCAGCCGAAGCAGCAGGCGACACTTTCTACTCGAATATTTAAGCTGCTCTATAAAACGAAGAGAAAAACAAAAGGAAAACGGGAAAAGTCATATCAAATGTTTTGTTTCGTTAAACTCGTTAAGCTGTGTAATCAAGTCGTAACCCTGCGCTCGCCCCATTCCCATTCATTTTGATTGTTGATCTGCTTTGCAGGTGCCGCTGGCTCCTATCAGTCGAAGTGCGAGAAGATGCAGGCCGTCAGCGAAGTGGTCAAAGATGCGGACTATACCGAGGCGGTGGCCGTTTGCAAGGCCAGCGAGGTGCAGGAGAATACCATGAAGCAGGTCGACTTCAATGAGGACACCAGCGTGCTGCTGGTCAAGCAGCACGGGCGGCTCCATGCCATTGGCTCGAAGTGCACCCATTATGGTGCGCCGATGCAGTCGGGAGCTCTGGGCGTCGGGCGTATCCGTTGTCCATGGCATGGCGCTTGCTTCAACTTGGAGACGGGCGACATTGAGGACTTTCCCGGTCTCGATTCGTTGCCCTGCTACAAGGTGGATGTCAGCGATGAGGGCCAGGTCATGGTGCGCATGAAGCGCACCGATCTAGAGAAATCGGCACGTCTCAAGAACATGGCCAAGCGCAATCCCAAGGATGACCGCTGCTATATTGTTGTCGGCGGCGGTCCATCGGGTGCCGTTTGCGTCGAGGCACTGCGTCAGGAGGGCTTCACCGGCCGCCTGATACTGATTTGCCGTGAAAACTATTTGCCGTACGATCGCGTCAAGGTGTCCAAATCGATGAACCTCGACATTGAACGTTTGCAGTTCCGCGACGAGAAATTCTACAAGGATCACAACATAGAGGTCTGGCTGGGCGTCAGCGCCGAGAAGCTGGTCACGGCCCAGAAGGAGCTGCACTGCTCCAATGGCTATGTGGTGAAGTATGATAAGATCTATATAGCCACCGGCTGTTCGGCCTTCAAGCCGCCCATTCCCGGCGCCGATTTGGAGAATGTGAAGACGATACGCGAATATGCCGATGTCCAGAGCATACTCGATTTGGTATCGCCCAATCTGAACGTCGTGTGTCTCGGCTCCAGTTTCATATCATTGGAGGCGGCCTCGTTTCTGGTCTCGAAGGTGGCCAGCGTTACGGTGGTGGGTCGCGACTCTTTCCCATTGAAAGCGGCCTTCGGCAGCGAGATTGGCGCACGTGTCCTGCAGCTATTCCAGGAGAACAATGTGAACATGCTCATGAACAACGGCATCAGCCAAATCGTGGGCAACGATGAAGGCAAAGTGGTTGAGGTGCAGCTGCTAGACGAGGCGACCATACCATGTGATCTGCTAATCATGGGCACCGGCTCCAAGTTGAACACCGACTTCCTAGTCGATTCGGGCGTCCGTCTCAATGAGAACGGCTCCGTGGATGTGACCGACTTTCTCGAAACGAATGTGCCCGATGTGTATGTGGGCGGCGACATAGCCAACGCGCACATCTACGGCCTGGCCCAGTCGCGCGTCAACATCGGCCACTATCAGCTGGCCCAGTACCATGGTCGCATCGCAGCGATCAACATGTGCGGCAGCATCAAGAAGACGGAGGCTGTGCCCTTCTTCTTTACCATGCTGTTCGGCAAGGGCATACGCTATGCGGGCTATGGCAGCTACAAGGATGTCATCATCGACGGCAGTCTCGAGGATATGAAATTTATTGCCTACTTCGTTAACCATGCCGACACTGTCACCGCAGTCGCCTCCTGTGGCCGCGACCCCATTGTCTCCCAGTTCGCCGAGCTCATCTCGCAGGGCAAGTGCCTGGGACGCAGTCAAATTGAAAACGAAGCGAATCGCCAGAGTTGGACGACCAAGCTGCTGGAGCCGTTGCCCAAGGTGCGCTAAGCGCAGGATAGTTTGTCGATCGCATGCCAGTTATCACTCAACAGCAGCAACAACAGAGATTCATTCTTATATATATATGTATGTCTATATATATCTAGTATTATGTGTGAACGCCCACAATTTGCTCATGACTGTTCTTATAATACAACCATAAATATTTGTAACTATATATATATATATATATTAATATATTTATATTTATATATTTATATTTATATATATATATATATATATTCGTTTTGCTTGATATCCAAAATTATATCGTGGCAAAAGAGAGCAAAAGGTTTTGTACAATAAAATATTTGCATTTTTTTTCATATTTTTGTGTATTTTTTCATATACATAATATAAATTTTTATTTAAAATAAGCTTAAATAAAACAAGCTGAATATATAACGAATTTCTTGTCTTTTCTATGTGGCCTAACAGTTTCAATAAAATGGCGCCTTATTTTTATATATTTTCTAAGATTAATCATAATGTTCCGTCTGTTCGGCCATCCGTCCGTCCTTCTATCGGTCCAATCGTCCATATGAACGCAAATCATTTCGCCGCTATTTAAGCTGTTGGCATGGTATTACGGAACATAGACTCGATGGCGACCCCGCCTTATTAACATTTTCCGATAAGCCCAGTCATAATTTACTGGTAATTTCGAAAAGAAAACATGCATTATGCCGTTACAAAGCGTTGAAGAGCTATTCATTATTTGTTTCTAAAACAAAAGAAAACCTGATTTCAGTTATAAAGGGGCCCTGGTTTTAGGCATATGATAGGTTATAAGGAAACTCTAAAAATAGTTTACAAATCGATCAAAATTCGAAATTGGAAACCAAATTTACTTTTATTGTTCGTAGCAAAAAAAATTTTTAATAACTATATATATATATATATATATTTATCTAAATATATATATAAATATAGATATAGTGGAGGTTGGGTATGACACTGATATTATTGCCGATGGAACATATGATGCATAACTGGCTGGACGCCTGGCGATCCCTTCACAATGATTGCGTCCAGGTTGCAAAAACGACGTCAAGATTCAAGAAGTTGGTGCGTGGGCACAGATCAGATCGTTGATTGGTGTTAAGATTGAATTGAAATTCTTTGCAGATATGTTTAGCTGCCCAGCAAATTGATTGCTACGAATTGATATTGTCGGAGCGTAGGACTGTGAATGATACACTTATCCAATTCATCGCGGATGCCGAGGTGTTGTCCAGCAAGCGTCTAGCTAGTAGCTGCACAATGAGAAGAGAGCATCAGGCAATACTCAGTCAATTGGTTGGCCTTAAAGTGCAGTTGGCCGAGCGGAATAATACTCTGGTCAAGTTCAAGTTGGAGTTGCATTGCTTGCGTCAAAGGTTGCGATCGCAGGCGCTTAAAACGAATCGGATGACGGCGCGATTAAAGCAAAGCAAATTGCTAACCGAAAAGCTTTTGGAAAACAATAACAGCTTGAATGCGCGGGTAAATATCTCTCTATCGATATATCGATATATTCAAAGTGTCTGTTCCTTGGCGATAGGCCATAGAATCGTTAGAGCTTTATAGGACGCGGGCTCTCATGTTTGTCTTTAAGCTGACTGGGATGGCTCAGGAACTGATTGTTACCAAAACCAAGTCGAAGGCATATGAGGATGCCATGGAGCAGCTGAAATGGTAAATATAACAAATATTAAAGTAATCTTCAATTTCACTGCTCTGACATTATTTTTAATAGCAAAAACAGGCAGCTGCAATTGCGTCAGAGAATACTTATAAAAAAAATCGCAAAGCTTACATCCCAAGATAAAATTCATACGAATACTAACACGGATGCGAATATGGTAAATGGAGCCCGAAAAATAATTGCTTTCGGTCTTCATTATTTGGGCTTGTTGTGGAAATGCGTGTCAGCCTTGGCGCAGTGCCCCGAACTGGAGGGACGTGATACACACTGTGAGTGGGCTCTTTTCTAACTATAAGCGACATGCGCTTAATAAAATATTTTAATTAAAAACAATTGTTGAGACTTTTAAATTGCTGAACAAAAAGAAAATCTAATTCAAATGACCAGGGATGACCAATGGAACTATCGTTGACAGCAAAAATATTAGGCTTTAACAGTGGTGATTGTGAACGATATATTAAACGATATTTCGATTTGCATTTATTTGCCTTATTTGTTGTATTTTTTTCGATTAATCGCCGACAATTTTTTACACACCAACAAAGCAAGCACACACGCACATATGCACGCATACACATGCACATACGCTCGCACACACACACACACACTCACACACAAATACGCCCAATAAATTACAGTGGCAAGCAGCGTACACATAGAAGTTTTATAACAAAAAAGCAAAGCAAATTAATATAGGAATATATATAAATTTATAAATATATGAAATCAGGGCATATTAAGGCGTTTTAGTACAAGCAATCAAAAACATTCCAAAATAACAGAGTTACAACCTTGCTGCTGCTGCTCTGTTGCAGTGTAACCAAAGTGTAGAAAATAAAACGAAAAAAAAAAAACAAAAAAAAATATAAAACGCCGAAACACATTTATCAATTATGAATTTCTTGGGCTTTGGCCAATCAGCCGAAATCGAAATTGTCTTCGATGGCGCGGAGAGTAAGAAAACCGCCGAAGTCAAAGGCGAAGACGGCAAAGTGGAAAAGATGCTCCTCTTCTACGATGGCGAAACAGTCTCCGGCAAGGTAAGCGGCAGCGACTGCAGTCCGAGGCAGAAGTTGAGGCTGCGACTGCAGTCCGTAGGGCTATAGGCGCGGTTTGTTTGTAGATGCAAGCAGCGGCTATTGAGGCTGAAGGCGTGGCTTCCGTTCCGTTGCCGCCCCATCAAGTCGGTTATCAGCAGCCAAAGCAGCTGCTGCGCTTAAGCAAAGTCAAAGCAAAGTAAATTGTAGCAAGTTCTTTAGTGATTGTTCCCCAAGTGTTTATCGTTTTTATGTTTTTTTTTCTTAATTTAATTTTCATTTGCTTTTTAGGTAAATGTGACGCTGAAAAAGCCGGGCAGCAAGCTGGAGCATCAGGGCATTAAGATTGAGTTTATTGGACAAATTGAATTGTTTTATGATCGGGGTAATCACCATGAGTTCAAGTGCCTAGCCAAGGCATTAGCCCGTCCTGGCGATCTGATCCAGAACAACAGCTATCCCTTCGATTTTCCCAATGTGGAGAAACAGTTCGAGGTTTACGCCGGCTCCAATGTGCGTTTGCGCTACTTTCTGCGGGCGACAATTGTGCGAAGGATTAGCGATATCACGCGAGAGGTGGACATCGCCGTGCACACGCTCTGTAGCTATCCGGAAATGAATAATCCCATCAAAATGGAGGTGGGCATCGAGGATTGCCTGCACATTGAGTTCGAGTACAATAAGAGCAAATACCATCTGAAGGATACGATCATTGGGAAAATCTATTTTCTGCTCGTCCGCATCAAGATCAAGCACATGGAGATTGCGATCATCAAAAGAGAAACGACCGGGACTGGCCCCAACATCTTCAACGA